TTCAATAAAATATACCATCGTATTGTATGCCAATTATAATCATTATTGAAAATATTGTATTTATTATTGTATTACGTATATTTGCTCACGAATTTATTTCCCCCGTTTTACGACGCGCGTACGCGTACACGTAATACCACACGTGTGGTATTGCGGCCATGTACATAGTATGTTGAGGGCAACTGGTGCATTTCACACTAAGTAGTTTGGCGAGAATCGGTATAAAAAAAATGGTACTTTCGCGGGCAACACGCCTCGAAATTCAACTAAAATTTCATCACTTCAAAGCCGCCAGAAGTGTCGTAAGAAAGCTGGAGAAATATATATAGGTACCCATAGTATACTCTACGTGCAATTATTACACTGCAATATAGTGTTATTGTCTCTGTTTTCGGGGAAAATTCGATAGTAACAATGTTCGAGGTATCGTACAAAAGTATACAAGCGTTAAGTACTTGGAAAAAAAAAATATAAATATATTTATTTTTTATTTTCTTTGGAAAAGTATAGACAGAACGGAAAATAATAAATAAAACACTGCTAGGCGTACTTGACTGTTCAAAATATACATGGTAATAATAATATATTCTGCTGCGTAAAATCAATCTCAAAATGAGCGATGACCCATACATAATGTAATAATTATGTGGGCTTCGAACTGTTGAAAAAAGATTTAGGTACACGAACAAATTGTATTAGAAAAAGTCGAAAATACCGTGCGCTTATAGACGACGGGTATTATTATTTTTATGTCACGCATACTGGCGGGAATAACACATTTTAAAGAAAATAATATTTGAGATGATGATGATAATAAAACAACCCGTCGAGGTGGTTTTAAAATCGGTTTCATCGAAAAATTACTTTTAGCGTTTAAAATTTCGTCGCTGTTACAAGAGTGAATATTATAATACTAATAATAGGTAATGTCAACAAAAAACCTTTTGATCGTTATTTTATTTTAGACGCTTGTTTGATAAAAAGATGATAACAACAACAAAAAAAATGCTGATTCTATTTCCATCATAAAATAAGTACCTCTCCCTTTAAAGGTATTTAACATATTTTATAATTTAATTTCAATATCATACAAATATTTAGATTTTCATTATTTTTAAGTAAGAACTCGGTGTATCGCACGTAGACCTCCTCGGTGCAGTTGTAGAAATAATAATAATAATAATATAAATAACAAATTTACATTTTTATTACAAAATGTGTTTTATACATTATGCATACAAACGACACACCGCCGCCATAACCGATCGAGTATAGTAAATAATAATTATAATATTATTACGTATTAAACGAGAGTAAGATTATTATTATTATTGCTATTATAATATTACGTTCCAGCAAAGTAAATCTTAATTATTTTTATTTTTTTAAAGGTCTGATAGTGTTGCATAACAATTATTTTCGTTCATGTCGTTTGTGTATCTACCTATGTAAATATATTATACTTAAAATTACTTAATTATATCTCGGCGTTTTGTAAGGAGCGTTCGAAAAAAAGAAATAAAAAATTTAAATACAATACCATAATATTGTCTTTGAATATAATATTCCCGTCGTAAATTATTGAGAAATATATCAGGCAGGTAACGATGCAATCTAATAATAATGGCATATAGGACAGCGAGTTTAATAAAACTGTCAATAAAATTGAAATAAAGAGATAGGTATCGCGGATCGGAGGGGAGGGACAATAAAACGTAGATACGAATCGTACTTAAGATAAGGTCAATTTATAAAAACGTCTATTGACTATACGTATTATATTTATTTATATTTTATCGATAAAAAAAAAAAAAATAAAATAAATAATAAGTACGAATATTTCTTTCGATCGCGAAGATGATTTATGAATAGCAGGATATCGTTTGTGGTGTTTTTCCTTTTTCTTTTTTTTTCATTTAACGATCACCAAAACTAAACGAACGTAATAGGGTATAATGTGCAGTTTATTGCGAGTATCGAACCGTAGTAAATTTATTATTTTCAATGCCCGTTATTAATATTGGTGATTTCGTATGAAAAAAAAAAAAAATCGTTACATTTTCAATTAGAAACGAATTAAGACGGTCTCCGCCATTCTCAGTTTAACGAAATTAGTATAGGGGTGAGCTTTGACTTGTGAAATAAATGACGGGTAAATATATGTTTCACCGTGATAAAATCACCGCTCGTATTTATTTATACAACGTCAATATTCAAACTAAAAAAAAAAAAAAAATTAATAACAAACTTATTAGCAATAAGCAACAACTTTTGGTAGGTGTATATACAGGTACAACTGTAAAACTATTCCCAGTATACAATAATGGATTATAATTTCTACGATTATTTGAATTTTTTCTTTTACGCGCGATTTTCTTCGTGCCAATCCAAGAATTTCGAAAAACGACGACTCGAATGCATTCTTTATATTCGTATTCGCGTAAATCCTCGGTACACTATTGCAAATATTTCACTTTTACAATATCATATTTTATTTCACTGTTTGCCGATTTATAGTGTTTCAATACCACCGTATTCATCGCATCGAATTTTAATATAATTTATCCTATTTCCTACTAATAATATTATAAATGTAAATGTTTGTGAGGATATATAGATGGATGTTACTTTTTCACACAAAAACTACTGCACGGATGTGACTTTAGAACATAAGCTACTTTTTGTCGCAAAAATAAAACTTGAAGGTGATGAAATAGGGGATGAAAGGTTTTTAGGTACTTTTGTTACGAAAATTAAATTATTTTTCTTAAATATTATGGATTACAAACACGTTGAAACATGGACGAAATGAAAACAAATAAATAATAAACAGAAATAAAAATGCCATAACAACTATAACAACTGAAAATAAAGAGTCTCTCTGACTGTCTGCCGGTATATTATTGATTTGAAATAGAATGAGCTACCTTGATAACAAGAATAATAATAATAATAATAATAATAAAAAACTATACGCTGTACTGGGTGAAAAGTGAAAAATGAAAACACGTAAAACATTATCTCTGAATCTTAGTATTTTTCGGTACAGTAACAACACTACAGTACTATTATGTCCTCATAATTTTAGTGTTATTAAAGTCGATACATAGTTTAATCCCTGTGTTGTGCGGATATCTATGGTAACGTGAATGAAAACACGTATGATGCACTACAACATTTTTAATTCACGGACTACCCACTATCCGCCTATTTTTTTTTTTTTTTAGTTCAATATACTGATACAGACATAGCAATACGGAAATAGAGGTAAAAATAATAAAAAAATTAGGCCGGGTAATGCCGGGCGTTGATAGGCTAGTAGTTTTATATTTTCGGCACATCATATTTTCTCGATTCGTCTTGCACAATGCATACGTATAATCCACGGTTCAAAATCGGGAGTTAATCAATCATTACCGGAAGTTCGGTGTTGGGTTACGTTCAATAACACATATATTAAATTAAACGAGTAGGTACACATATGGTATATTCTGACATAGTGACGTTTACCTGCATTTATTAAGTGATATAATACTTTAATGCACAGTTGATCTCGATTAATATAATTTTACAACAAGGTTTAGAAATATAAAATATTTTTTATTTACCAAATATAACAATCATTATTGATTTGTTTTTAATTTATGTTTAAAGTATTTTAAAACAGTAAATACAAATATTCAACAGAGTTCATTATGGGCACCGGTATCGGGTATTCGAGTAATATTAATATTGGATTCCATTTCACTGATTTCTTTACTATTAACAACTGAATTCTAAGAGAATCAATAAAATACAATTGTGTTACAATAATATTCTAGTTAAGCATTATGCATATTGTAAATAATTGATACAATATACAATTTAAATAGTAATAATGCATCCATCGGGCAGCAGTGAAGCTTATAGTATAATTAACATTGTTTAACCTGCTATGAATTAATAGAATTAGATTGTCTACTATTTCCAATTCATAATAATCCATTCGGCATACTTTACTGCTCTATTATCGTTGCTTTATACTCGATTGTCAATGATTGAATTAAAACAGTTTGTGTCAGTATCTGTGTTTCGACGACATATTCATCATTTTCATTTTGTGTAGTTTTTTCATCAACATATTAGATAATTTTAAATAATTTCCTTTTAGACGGCATTATTTTTAACTTTTATGTATTACATTTTCATAATAATAAGTAAATTACATAAAATAACAGCGAAAACTCAATAAAAATCCAATTCGTGCATGGTTGTAGTCGCTGGTCGCTGTAGATACAACAGTGGTTTCGTGAAACCGAATAATAACCATATAGATTATACGCGTAAACTGATTAAATGTTTTGGTAGAGTTGTCTTTAAATGAAAAAAAAAAAAAATTAAAATAGGTTAATGTAAACAAGATAACAGAAATGAATAATTTATTATCGTTAAAAGTTTAAAAAAATTAGGTACTTCTTGTTTAGAAATTGTATTGTAGAAGTACAAAAAAAAGAAAAAATCAAGAGAGAATTTTACATCCAGATACCCTATGATTACTACACAACTGATATGCTCTATCCTATGTCCGGTGTATATGATGTAAGACAGTCGTATTGAAATTTCATTGAGTGATAAGATCTCAGCTCTAAGATTATGCAGTTGCGTTTTGTATACAACTACACGAGTATAGAAGCTTACGTTTGGGTTTTTCAGCCTACCTGCGGATTTATTAGAATAAATAAGTGGGTACTATTCGAGAATTTTGCTCAAGTTTGCTTGACGCAATCGAATTTTACCTATATGATTTCCGATCCCGCGTAGCTATAAATAATTATTTGCGTATTATATAGGGGGGGTTTTATGGTTCCTTAGAAATATATTATAATGTAGACCCAGACCCGGATTTAAAAGTACCAACCTAAAATCAGTCCACAAAGGAGAAAACTTTAATCTACTTACCTACATAGATAATGGTTTGAACATTATTTTCCTCGTCCTTCTTTTACCATCGTGGATTTATGCGGGAAGATTTTATATTCTGAAAGCGGCGAGGAATGTATTAGTTGTATTATGATGTTTTTTTTTTCTTTTACCATAAATAATTAATTTTATCATTATGCTTCAGGTTTTAAATGTAGCATATATTTAAAAGCCAATTGCATAATCTAGTTGGTGCATTGAAAAGGTCATTATTTGAATTACCGTGCAGACATATGTAATTATTTTACATTAATTTATATTGTTAACAAAGCCTAACCTAACCTAACCGAACTTCGCTCAGAATTGTGTATCGTTATATTGTAGCGTACATATTATATTATCATCACTATGTTTGCCACCCACCCGATTTTCACCTACAACAGTAGCGCACCCACTTTAATATAATTTTCACGGCACACACATCAACAATATCAACTGTTTTTTGTTTTTTTTGTTTTTTAAGTTTCGTTTTTATACCTATCGCAGGCGTCGTATTCGAATGTTAAACATTTTCCGTCCGCGACAACTTGCGCATAGTCTGTATAATGCGGCGTAAAAAAAATAATCAATAATATTTCTGGTAGACGGAATAAAAATATGTAAAAATAATTATTGTTAGATTTTTTTTTTTTTAAAGGTGACGTAAATTTTTGTGTAATTTGATATTTATACCCACGCAGTATAATGGAACACGTATAACAGTAAAATTAATTAAAAGGCAAACACGTTAATGGATACGAAACTATTATAATAGTATTATAATAATACTTGATATTAAGTAGGTAGTAGGTGTCAATGACATTATTAGTTATTACTTATTAAAATATAAAATCGTTTAATTTTACCGTTTTCAGTTATCTCGTTTTTTTTTGACAAGTATATAGACATAAAAAGCTGTCAAACTCTGTCCACGCTGTAATCTATCTATCTAATGGGCAACATGGAAAAAAAATTAGTTTTCTATAGTTTACTAATGTACTTTCGAAATTCCCGGAAATATTGAAATCAGGAAACTATTTTTTCCCTTAAAATGGGAAAAATCGAGGGAGAAAAATAAATTATATAGACAAATATATTACCGTAATATCAACTATGAACAACCTACTTGCCTGACATTTTCAAATTTTAAAATAAGATTTAATAGTCTCATCAATATTATTTTCGGGCCGGACATGGGCTTTTTCTCACAAAATATTTTAGACCGGATCGGACCGGGCTTAAAAAAAATATCCTCGGGCCGGACCGGGCTTTTTAAAAGCTTAGTATTATTTTCGAAGCAGACCTGGACTTTTTTTCACAAAATATTTAACACCGGATCGAACCGGGCTTAAAAATAAAATTGTAGGACCGGACAGAACCCAAACTTGATGGCCCTGGCTGGTCTATAGTATAAGTTTATTTAAAACCTGTATATATCTTTATGAAAATATTTCTTCTGTCCGTGTATATGTAATTGAATTTCTCCTAAACGGCTGGACTGATTTTGAAATTTTTTGTGTGTGTTAACCTCCTATATTTTATACCTAGCATACAAAAAAAAAATCGAACACTACGCTCGCTGAGATAAATGCATAAAAAAATATATATTACATATTATATTAAATATAAAAATAATGTATAACTTCAAGTCTTCAACATTCAATTACATTATATTTATTATTTACTAAACGCTTATTTAAATAATAATACATTTTTGGAATGTTCGGACTGGTACATAAATACTTGTAAGCAACAAACAAATTAGGGAAGAATGCACATAAGTCGTCAATTTCCAAAATAAGGAAGAGCTATAATAGATATTACATTGTGTATTATTATGCTATATTTCTAATTAAAAAAAAAAAAATACTTATCTTTATAAAATATATTAATAAATTACATGTATTATAATAATGAGAAATAAAGAAATAAGAATTAGATAAAAAAAGATCGGACATACTTCGCATGAGGGTGCCATTACTGTTGTGAGGAGTCAGGAAGGTAGAATACAGACGGGAATTTAATGTTTATCTGTAAGCAACGATAAACCATTGCTAACGAAAAACGATTCTGAGCGGAGTTGATAGTATTGCTTTGTCAACAATATAGATTCTGTCATATTATGGTGTCATAAAAAATGATTACTACAATAAGCGTTACCATGTCAACAATGATTGATTACAAAAGATTTTCAAATAATAAAAACTGAATAATAACAATAAATAAATAAAAAAGGTTGCCAATGACCACCTTATTTTTAATATTTCGATCATTTGTTTTTCTCATTATCTCGAATATAATGAGAATTTCGAAAAATAACCTCTGTATAGTACCACCCAGAGAACATTTTCTTTCGGAAAAGGTGCTATACTTGATAATCGGAGTAAGTCTTCTGGGAGAAAAAGTGATCTCACAAAAAAAAATATAATAATAATAATAATAAATAAAATAGCATTATTGTAAAACCAATATATTCCTCTTTCCACTCAGAATTCAAAAATATATAAATAAAACAAAAGGAGGTAAGGAATAAATTTTATAAATAATATGCTTTACTCACTTATCATAATTTATATATTATTTCCTTAAACAAAAATAAAATACCGATATTGAGTTTAAACCTTTATTAGAATCAATATGAGTACTATTACTTGTATCATTTAATTTAATCGGTGTGATTATTTTACACCAAAAACGTTGGTTTTAAAATGAAATACCAGTGTATACAATCACGACAGAACGACGCTTTAACATTTTAGTGTTCGGACTAACTTTTTAAAACAAACAAAGCTAATGACTGACGGGTTATCAGTTTTTAATGTATAAACAAATTTTTTTTTATTTGTACCTATACTCAGGACCCTATTTACACAAGGACATTGTGGGTATTCGTAAAATTCTAAATCAGGCTCTCCGGCTATACTAAATTATTATACATTTGAACTACAAATAATAACTATAATATTTGCAAATAAATCAAAAATTTAATGGAGACACAATTGTTTGCAGAGTGTGCAGCTACACATCCCGTGAAAATGCCTGTGTTAATACACTAGTATACCTTATATTCGGGAACGTAAATATGACATTTTATAATGAATTTCTTGATTATGCAACAATCAAAAAAATGTTATACTAAGTACTTATATAGTACGGTACACTGCATGGTGGCAGCATAATGAGATCACTTGCAGTATTGTCAACAAATTATCCTTTTATGAAAAGTATTTAATAGCTTTCAAAACAATATAATATTGTGTTTAAACTAATATTGATTATAAAGTTTTTTATTTTTTAAGTAAGTACCTATTGAAAATATTAAATTAAATATTGAAAGTTTAAAGTTTCATGATAAAATAAAAGGCTGTTTGAACAAGTTTTAATATTTTATTTAAAAATAATAAATATTCTATAGATAAAGATTCTAATAATTGTTTTCAATAGGTACAGAAAAACGCATTTGGCCTAAATAATGGCTTGGTGTTAAGAGAGTCTGGGTAAAGAAATAGATAGGCAATAGCAATTTATCCATCAAAAAAATAAGAATGTAAATTATGAAAGAATATTTTGAATTTTGTTAAAAAAATATCATTTAACATGGAGTATTTTAAATTCATATAGGATATTTTCCTGGGGGAAGAGGGATGAACCTTGAGCCACTTGTTTGAATAAGTTTACTCTATTTATAACATACTAATGCACATCATTTATAATTTACTATGCTTGCTGAGGCCTATCTTGATTCTTATGTAAAGTTTCAACAATTTATATTTTTTTTCTATGAGGAAAAGTTTGTGATAATACACTTTGATTAGACATTTTTATAATACAAAAATTAAAAACTAATTGAGTAATATTTGCAAGATAAATGAGATTATGAGAAATGTATTATTATCTAATAATACATTTCTATTTGAAACTTATTTTTTTACCTATTTGATTTATGATACAACGAATAGTGATCGAGTTTGAGTACATATAATATTTGAAAATTACTTTGTAAATTTGTAACTTTGTTACATTAGCAACCTCAATATGAAATTTCATTAAACAAATTGCGCTGAAAAATGATAATTTACATATACACATTTGTAGACAAATTCTGAATTTGCACACCTCTCAGAACCCGTCAAAATTGATTTTTACTACTGTGCGATGGTGCTGATAAAGTCCAAAAAGTAGAGTACTGCTGTAACAGAGAGATTTCTGAGAGATGTATATGACAGATTTATTGTTCAAAATGTGGGGTGCCTTAGAAACATAGTAAATTTTGAAAAATGATTTAAATAAATTACCACCAGGTAAAAAATTACAAATCTCAACATTCATAATATTTATTTTCTTAATCCTAAAATCATTCCAAATTCTGAAATTTAGGAGTAATTTCTTGTTTAGGTACCAACAAACAGTATTCAATAGAAAAATTTAACTAATTGAAAATAACATGAAAGTACACATACAAGTACACATTTTGTAGTAAATTCAAAATGTTTAATATATACTTTGTTTTTAAATAAAAATCATAAAAAGTATAATAATTTTAAATAACAGTAACAATAGATACATTATAAAATCATAAACGATAATAATTATTTACAACATTTATTGAATTAAAAATTAAATGAGCGAGGTTAACTTTTGACCTTGTCTTGGTAAAAATTAAAAGGAGAAATAGTCTCACATAAAATAAAATAAATAAAAAAATGAATAATAATTAATTGAAATATTGTTTGTCTCGTGTCAAATTTGAAGTATAATATTTTTTTTCAACTGGTGTTTGTGAAAAAATTATAAAACTAAGTTTTAATATACATAAATATTATTATTATTATTATTATTATTATTATATAATATTATCATTTAATTAAAGAATATTAATAATAGATGTATTATAAACCTTAAGTCAAAACTCACGGACAAAAAAAAAAATAAGTATAAATTAACTAACAAAGTATGGTTTAAATCATTTAAATTTTAGTGATTTTTTTCAAAAAAAATAATGCAAATGTATACATTTTAAGTAAAATATAATAATATCATAATCGAATTTAAATAATTGAGTTACTTTTTTTTAATTTTATCTTGTCGAGATTGAAGGTAACTACCAGACATAGCCAATAACCGGTAACGCTGTTTTAGATTTTTTGCTCTGGCATGTTGTGATGCTATTTCTGATGTATAATTACCAGGAAACCATCCTTTCTCACCGTCACGAATCCGTTCACCATGATACCATCCTGATCAACACACATTTTCAATATTTATATTTCAATTTTTTTTTTTTTTTTGTATATATAATAATTGTATTAAATATATGATTACCGTCATTCATTTTTGTCAAAACTTTTACAATATCTCCATTTTGCAATGAAAGTTCATCAGGTTGTACAGCCGTATATGCATGTTCAGCAAACACTTGTGGACAGTCCCATTCATTATATAGAGTCTCTTCGGGGTTGGAACTGATAGGAGGTGACATGGCTTCGATCCAACGTTTTTTTGAAGATTCAGAATCACAACTTAATAACTAGAACATTTGTGATTAAATATTTGATACATGCAAATCTAAAATTCAAAAAAAATTTAAAATACCATTTCAATAGTCTTAGCCTCATGATTTTCTAAAATTGTCAACATTAGGAGATTCTTGTAGGATGAAGAAATAACTATTTCAGTAGCATCAATCATTTGAACAAAATTTCTTGCACAATAATCCACCACTGTATAGTTTTCGTCACTGTAAAAATAAATACGTAAACATTATTATTCTTATAATTTTGTTTGCATCTCGAAATACCTTTTTCGCTTTGCCATGAAAAACATATCATTGAATAGGAAAAAGTATAACTTAGTAGGTCGTATAAATTTTCGACTTAACGTGAGTTTTGCATCGGGGCTATTTAAATGCAACATAGAACCAGAACGAACTAACCAACGTGAACTAGAAGCTACAGACATCGCTTTAATTTCTCTCTTACTAGAAAATTCTAATTGTTGACTAAGTAATAACATTTCTTCATAACGTTCTAACTTCCTAGTGCTTTCATTACAATTTTGTACAATCTAAAATAAAAATACAAAAAAAATACATAGTAAAACATCGTAAACTTTTTTGAATGTGTTATTGGCTATTTTTTAACACTACTCACAGTATTTAAAGAAGCTAAAGTCAATTCACATAATTCGTATTCTAAAGAATTTTCAGTAGGATCCATTTTTGACAAAATTGCATCCAGGAGTAGAGGTAATCTAGTTATTCTTTGCATAGGTAACATTAGGAACGAGTGGAGAGAGAGAGATTGGCACTTGCCATCCGATTCCAGTCTTTGTAAAGCTTCATTGAATTTAACATTTTTTTCCCTAAAACAAAATACGTAAAAAATATTAACTGGCTTAATTATGATTATGAGCTTAATTGATGTTATATTTGTAAATAATATTTTACCTTAAGGATTTCAAAGTACGGTCTATATAAATTTGATTTGAGCAATACTTTACGAAAATGTTAAAGTTTTCTTTGGAGTATTTAAATATAATTTCACAAAGTCCTTCAAGTAGTATATTGTCTTGCCAACATTTTTCTAATGCCGCCAGTAATTTTTCAGAACATTTTCGTACTGAAACCAAAGATTTTTTATTACAACCAATAATTTTCGTAACAAAAATGTACAATTATACAATATGCATCGTAACATTTACCTGGATTAACATTTCCAAACAGAATTTTGCGATCGTTTTTACTTAATATTGTCTCGTCGTTCATTGAATGACTATTGACGAAATGTTTCTCAAGTACAGTTAAAGACTTAAAATAAGATGCTTCAGATGTTATTAATTCAAACTTGGCTTCTTGTAATTTTCTCTCTCGAGGTTTTAATGTGTCTAATAAAAAACCATAAATATAATAATTAAGATACTTATAAATAAATTATTTTTGTAGCTTTCACAACTTACCCATAATGCCACTATTTTTTACTTCTGGAACTTCGCACCATAAAGATCGGTGTTGTCCGTGACCAGTCAAACAGGGAGTTATAAGCTCTAGAGCTGACGGTCTACTCACAATTGAACTGATCTCTTCATAGCCATCACACTCTTCCATCATGTCACCAGCAAACACACTTTTTGTTCGCTATAAATAATAATTAACACTCAATTCGGTTAACATTACTGAATAATATTAAAATTTGCATACAATACAAATTCACACTACACATAAACCATATTAATACAAAACTTACTTCGGATATATCAGCTGCATAAAACTGGTACAAAGGTTCATCAGCGAATCGCATGTACAACTCAGAACCCTGATTAGAACCTGCGAAATAAACCGAATAAGTTGATTTGCGATCGAATTATAACAAAAGATGTTACCAACCATTTTCGGATATTGTATCAGTGTTACTTTTGTCTATAAGCGAACGTGGCCTCCCTGTCGAATTGCTAATTAAATTTGTTAACGAACCGTAAGAGTTATTTCCTATAAAATATTATACAAATTAATTAATCACGCTTTAAATAAACACCGATTGTTTATGTATATTATTTTACCAGTTGAATGTTGTTTAACTGGTGGCGGAGGTGGTGGCGAATTAGGTCTTGCAACGCTAAGTCGTCGCGAATCAATAGATGAAGGTGGTTTGCTTGACTTCCTAACGGGCAAATTCATTTGGTCGTTTTCTCTGTAAATGAACATATTTTTAATTTATCGCTAAGAATTTATCACTATGTATAATGCATATCATATGCAATCTATTAATTGTAATACTTACATGTTATTGTATATGGGATCGTTTAAGTAGAAAATCGAAGTCAAACTATTACTTTTCGAGGAAGAATTAAATTTTTTTTCATTAGATTTGTCCAATTTGCTATCATACGTTTTATTACAGAGATCAGTTGTTGAATTTCCTACGCCGATTTTTCGTATCTGGTTTAAACCAAAGGACGCGAGCGACCATCGTTTTTTCATCCGGTTCCCAGCTCTTTTGACCAATGGAACGAGTCCGTATATGTTTTGCTGGCCCGGCGGATCCGGCAAATCTCGGTTTTCGCATGGGTACGGTACCCTTTTAAGTTTTTCCGAACCTTTATAATCATCCCAGGAATCGTCAGATTCGAACGAATCGTAATCGGCGTAAATCTCTTCCGGTATTTTTTGACTAATATCATTCGTATTTTCTTTGGATTCTGTAGATGAAAAGACAATATAACATTAAAAATAAATTACAATTTTGATATCTGCATGAATCGTTATTAAAAATAACATATCCGTAAAGTAGACTACAACAATGAAGTATTACCGGTGTATTACCTTATGTAATACATATAATCTATGCGCGATTCACATCCGAGTTTGATCATTACAATTTGATAATAGAAAAACATACGGTATCCACTGTTTTACATGGGCAGACTTGGCTGACGTAAAAAGAAAACGGGGGTGAGACGTTAAATTCAATTTCTTTTAGAGATTTCGGTTTTCGGTAGGAATTTTTTTTTTGAATTCTGCATTTTTAAATGGGAAAGTTAAAATAGTACAGGCAATGTCGGGCGGGACAACCATAGACGCAATTAGACTACCGATTTTGAGAGCGTTACAATTATAGACACATCACAGACCCACGGGGGCAATGCCGCCACTAATTCCCTTTACATGTCATTTATAATAAGTGACCACACATTTCAATTACGATTTTTATATACAAATGTATCATAACTTGTTTAATTTTTTAATTTTGTGTACACACACACGTTATTTGAGTTTTGTTCCGCTTATTAATATTACGAAATAATATATTTAGCCGATACTCTAAAAACGCTTATTGGATACTTTTGGGGGCGCTATGGACCCCTAGAAACCCCCCCCCCACGGGACGGTCAGTATAGTAATTAATAGGTCATAAATGCAGTGGCGTAAATACCGGGTGGGCGAGGCGGGCAAACGCCACGGGCTCACATATTTTGTGGGCCCTAGCAGTGGCATAGACCACGGCATTATTGCACAGGTGAGATTCCTTTTGAATAACCCCCTTATTCTTTTTGCTTTCGGTTTTGCTTTTAGGACCTTAATATAATATTACGCCACTGCATTCATGCATCGAATTTTTAAAGCAATCTCAAAAGTCTCAACGCATCACGAAATTCCTAATTAACGTACCGCTAAATTTATTGTCGGTTTCATCCGACGCTGTTGTGCATATTATTATAACAGCGATAATTATTATTGTTGTTCGAGCAACACGACAAATGATACAATATTTGACGGGGAAGAAAATAAAATACGTTAACAATAACTATACAAACATAATACGGTTTCGGTCAAGGCGGTGTTTTCGGTCGATATTATCTAATATGGTGCGCTGCAATAAACTTACCGTTGTCAAAAAATAGGGATAGCTCTTGCGACTCGAATTTATCTTCGAGGAAAACCGTCTTCAAGACCACGGACAACAACAGACGATCGCTGCAGGTAAAATCGCACGGGTTTGTCTTATGCGTCAGCTGTTCAGGGACGTCCTTTACGAAACTAATTACGGATTGTGACGAGATAGAAACTAAAGAAAGCACATAATATTATGTTGAACGTGTTAAAATGGCGTGTCCTCGGGAACGCCGAGTAGGTATCGTACTTATGCGCGGGCACGGTCAGTTTGAAGCACACGCGCCCGATTATTCACAGTTGGCTAATTATTTGTCTCGGCGAGATTACGGCGCGTCTATTTTACGTTTTCATCTAGATAATATTATTGTCGGGCGTAACAACGCGCCTACAATATGATAGATATAGTCTAGTGAATTTGTTTTTTCCCGCGAGATCTCTCTTTTTAACGAGCGCACAAACGATAATAGCGATAATACGGTCTCCCGTGAATAACCCGCGAAAAATGCGTCGACGGCGTCCGATATACGTTTAAACCGTGTACGATCCGATACGCGAAATCGGCGTTATTGACGCAGGTGACTTACGTATTATTCGAAGATTTCGACGATACGCGGCCTTCGAATTTCGTGCCGTCACCTCCGAGAAACGAGTCGTGCACAGTTGCCCACGGTGATATCATCGAATCGCCCGATTCGGACAATAACGGTAACACACAATCGCGCCCATACGGTTCAAAAAGGAAACGGAAAATATCGGAACGGCCGCGTTCGCCGGGTTGGCGACCGTTCGGCCAAACCGATGTCCCGGGAAACGTCAGCGGCGACGAGAAAACGGTTTTCCGGGTTAGGGCTCCGGCGGTTTCGGCGCGCCTCGGAGGCGTGTGCTTTTCCGTAGCAGCTGCGGCGCGCATACAGAACACCGCGGCCGCCGTGCGCGCGATAACAACAATACCTATCGGCGTCGCGTTGTCCGTTTCAAACCTTTGTCGACGAAAAGCGATTTTCTGCGCCTCTGGGCCCTGGCCGGCGGTAAAGGTGGCGGCGGCGTGCGCAGCGGAGAGTTACAGTAATAGGAAGATGATGGCATGACAGATCGTTTCCCCGTCGCACAAATCGATCATTTTTCCCACCGCGAGAGTCACACTGCGCGCGCGGAAAATGTTTCGGTATCAGTTATAAACGGAACGCGTGACACACGACGACGGCGCCGCCGCGAAATATTGCGATGGGCCTACACACGCGCGCGACTGCCTACGACACCCGTCGGTACGATAGTAATACGTGTAGAACCACGGACGCCTGTCGTACGACGTTACATCAAACGCCGCGGTGCCGTAATACCATTACGGCGTTCGCGTACGGTTACACACGTCCGCCGCGCCGCACTTTCACTTTTCGATTACCCACCCGTGTCCCGGCGGAGTCGCGGCGATCAAGGGGGGACCTTGGACTGTTTACGATATCGCGCGCCGGGTAAACGCGCCGCAGAGTCGCGCGGGCACCGCGCACGGTTGTCGTCGTAGCGGGGGCGGGTGGGGGAGGGGGGAGGGGGACTAGAGAGCGGCGCGTGTTCGAGAGTAGGAGAAGTGCACCGCGTCCGCCGCCGGGAGGGTAAACGGGTTTCTCCCCCTCCCACGGACCGTTCGGCCGCCCCGTCATACTCGACGCGTACTCGTTGTTTGTTCGGATGATGTTTTTTTTTTTTTCGTATTTCTTCTTCGGCACTTTGCGCGCGCGTTTTCGCGTCCGCGACCCACGCGCGCCGACCGGTCGCGGTCTGCCTTCCGGGTGGAGCGGCGGGGAACGACTCCGCGGATTACGTGAAAATACGTTTGTCCGGAACGCGCGCGGCGCCCGCGAATCCGTCGGGTTTGCTGTCGGTACCCGCCTAAACACGCCGCGCACCGTGTAACACGCCCGGCGTGGGCTCGTTTTCCCGTCGTCGGCGTTCGTACGATAGCGGCGTGTACCCGCACACGCGCGGCGCACAACAATCGCAGCGACGAAACACATGTAATAATGCAAAACCGTTTTACGCCGTGTGAATCGGAATCGGTTACGACATTCTCCCGTCCCCGATAAGAACACAATAATAAGAAAAGAAATCCGTTTGTCGCGCACGAGGCCCACGAAAGTGCCTAATAATAATAATAATACGAATATTTTAACAGTACCACCGTTGTTAACCTCGGTGTGTTGTAATCACGTACGCGCGATCCAGTGGCGGATCCGAGGATGGGGGGGGGGCAGCACGGGAGCACATGCCCCCCGTCCCCACCTCCTGCCGATGATCTACAGTTTTTGTTCGTCTACTTTATAGTTAGTTTACCGAAAAAATAAATAATGCGCCGCCCCCCTTAACCCCTTTAAAACATTTCTGAATCCGCCGCTGACGCGGATCTTAATTCGTTAAAAAAACACCGATCGATACGTAGTATCGGAGTCCCCTTGTTATTTTCAATGCAAAACTGTTTAGTTCCCCATAAGAGTTTACAGGGAGGTCGAAAACGATGATTTTTTGTTTTTTTTTTTTCACTCGTTCAGCACGAGAATCCGCGTTCATTTCGGACCTTCTATTTACCCCGGGGGGGGTCGTAAATTCCCAAGGGGGTAGACTAAACGCATCAGAGTCGCTTCCAGGAATTTATTTTACGCCCATGGAAAAAAGTACGAAAATACGTTCAACGGTGACTTTTTCTAATGCTCATCATAATTCACATATTATCACATCACGTGTAGCTAACGTGGTAATGTCATTTTATCTGCAGGAGAGGGAGTAATACTCTTCCGGTCACCCCCTTATTGATAGGAATTTAAACGCAGTATATTTCTAATGTACCGATTAGTCTAGTGAAGCGATAAGGAATTTGAAACCCCATTTGAATTTGTCGTCATGTCTACTGCCTGAGATCAACTTTTCAAAAGTGTGGGAAAGTCGATTTCAAGTAGACTTGACTATAATTCAAATCTGTTTTCAGAATTCGTATCGCTTCACTAGATCAATCGGAAATAGAAATATAACGCGTTTAAATTCTTATGTTGCACGTGTGTGAGACAAAGATAGAAAATCACCGATTCCAATGTCCGGGGGAAAGTTTTGACTATTGACATTGAGATACTTTTAATAAAGTTTTAAAAACTTGTAAATTATTTTTACCCAAAATAAATTCATTAATTTCTATTAGATAATAGACGCATATAATCAAATATGCGTAATCAAACTTTGCAGTTTTGCTTTATTTTTTACCCGGCGGAAGATAATATTTTACGGGTGGGGGCATAGGCAACTTGGGGGTGCTGAACGGTCTATAGCACCCCCAAGTTTAAAATTAGCACCTCCTAAAATACCCAATAAGTCGTTTTATAGTTCAGACTAAATATTTTATCAATGCATTTCATAATTAATAAACAGAACAAAATACAAACAGACAATGCGTGTATGTATAAAAATAAAGTTAAAAAAGTTTTGATACATTTTTATACAAAAAATTGTAAATAAAATGTGTAGGTAGTTGATTATTATTATAAGTGTCGTGTAAAAGTATTAGTTGTGGGATTATTGCCTATACAGGTGATGGATCTGTGGTATATTTATAATTTTAGCCTATTAGTATACTACTCGTATATTTTATAAACAACTGTGTGCGAAAGAAAAATATTTTGGAAATCTTGTCTTGTTGTTTGTCTGCGTGATGGGTTTTCTTAAAATAATGTTAGGTTTTGTTAATTCGCGGAAACGTCCCTTAATTTTCAGTAAACACAGAGACCCATCGAAGTTTTTCCCACTTTAACCACTGTCGATACTGACGCTGTTCCATGATACTTGTGTATAAGCATTTTGGGATTATAACTTGTAAGCGGTGATTATAGAAGTATGTATAGGGAGAAATTTATAGCGACAAGGTCCGTATTCAGGTGGCGGCGGTTGCATAGATTTTTTTTTTTTTATGTATCGTAATTTTTCGGACATTTTTTCAGAATTTTAGGATATTCTGTCAAATAGACGACGGTATGTCATATGTATCGTTATTATACACAAGTTAGGTTTTTTATGTGTCCGAAGCGCCGACATTTTTACTACGACCCCGGTAGGCGACTCTATTGTAAAATGTAAAGATTCTAATTGCGTACAAATTTTATTTTGGCGAGAAGCGTTCACTACATTTCCCGTAAGATTACAGCGCGAATTTCGCTGCATAAGTGCTGTTTTTACCCGAAATAAAATTGTGAATTTAATAAAATATTAATTGTTTCGTATTTGGTTAGTCGGAAATTTCTACTAATATTAAAGGAACACTTACGCATTCACTCAGGCAAGACAACATATAATAGAATCAAGAAAATAGTTCACTATACTCATTAAAGAGCTAATGAGAATTAATATCTAGGGGATGAAATATGTTGAGCACAATTATTCGTATAAATATAACTCAACGAAAACATTCTGCATAACCGGGAAAGAACCGGAGAGTTTCTGGAAATAATGATTCCGTTATTTTCAATTTTATCTTTGTTGTTGTAACTGTGTGAGAAGGATTCATAGAGCCGACATTTTCACAAAAAACGTATGTTGGCATTTTCCAAACGAGGTAAAATGTTCAAACTATTTGCATATGATGTTAATAACAGAGTAAAGGCATTTTTTCGGCGTTTTATTTTATTTTTTCCGTACCGTACTAAGTGGATGAAATAGTTTGACGAACAGAAATTCTTGTAAATTTAACACGATGATTATTACAAGTTGTACTTAGCGGTAGAAAAAAAAATGAAAAGGAACGTAACGTATTGAAGTTTTTTTTTATAAGAATTTTAATATCAAATTTGACGGAAATCATAAATATCACGGCTATCAAAACATGTATAAATGAACGTCGCTTAGAATCGTATTTCGTTTAGGAACGGTTTGTCGTTGATCACAGATAGAAATTTAAATATATTTATGTACCCTATCTTCCCAATTTCCCATCCACAAAAGTGGCGCGCCCGTTAGCAGAATCGGCTCTTTTTTGTTCAATTGTTTTTTGAATATTATAATAGAATTATATTTATATTTAACCAGTTTTATAATATTATATTTATGAAAAATCATACATATTTACTGTTTTTTTTTTTTTTTTTTTACAATCCTGAGTACAAGTAATTTGATATGATAAGAAATGTATATTATATGCTTGCAAATTACTATATTCTATTATCCGGTTGGAAATCACCAGTGTTACGGACAATTTGGACATTTTCGCAACGATTACAAAAAATAACTAGGTAATTTATGTTCTTGATTATTAGATTAGATAACTTCATACGTTAAATTCACCCCGTTAAAGAAAAGTACGTTATTATGAATTTAAATTTAAATTGTTGTTATTACAAGCTTATAGAGAGGTAAAATAAAAATGTTCTCTCGAACCTAGTGGAACACAAGTGCAATATGGGAAAAATTATACATTTTGGGATATCGTTTTTATTGACGAGAAAATGTAAATTTTCTAAATTAAGGGAGCTCACGGGATTTTTTTTTTTTGGGGGGGGGGGATTTTCGAGGGAAAAAAAGAGCATCAATTTTTACTTAACCGGTGTAACTGGGACGCCAAAATCGTAAATACGCTTCTGGGCCTACTTGTTTTCGTTTACTTTTTACAGAATTCGAAAAACGTTATTTAGAAAATAATATTTCATCGGTTTATAAAACGCGTTTCGTTTTCGGTATGACACAAGTCTATAATAATACGTACGGATACAAAATGCATTAAACCGCGCTAAATCGACATGTTATTGTAACCTTGTTCACAATTTATTTCAGAGCGAAACAGAAACGGAACGTTCTGTATACAAACGTCGCGAACAATACATATTTTTATTGGAGTTGTTTTGCCAAAACCTGTGTATGCGTTCGCTAAACGATGAAAAAAATTGGCCGTATGTGACGTGGGCAGGCTCTTGGTGTATCAGTTGTTTAGTATATAGTATACCTAAAACCTATCTTCATGCAATTGCAACTCCATTTGGATTGTGACCGTGTCTTGGCCTTGGTAAAAATAAGCTGTGTAATAATAATCGCGGCAATACAACGAAACCGGTTTCTAGTTGAAGTCATTTATATCAAAAAAAAAACCTATAGTCGGATCACGACATTTCAATAAAACAAATTAAAAATAATAATAACGATATTGAAATATTCGTTACGCTGTTCCACAACATGTATATATTTTTATCATCGCGTTACCAAGTGTACTATTGGTTACGCACTCAATAGTATTATCATTTCAGAGAACCGCTCAAACGACAACGGAAACATCGCGTTTTAATAAGTCCCGAAAACATTAATTAAATCGCGAAGTCAGCTGTTAAGTCTCGGAGGGAGGCGGCTCTTGTGCCCTACCGCAGTATTGAATAAACCGTGTCCCGCGGGGTTCTGCTTCTGCGTCGCGGGCTTCGGACGTACGAGAAGGCTCTAAACCCCCTAGCCCGTCGCGCCACCGAATATTATGTATTATTTCGAAATAACGCAATATTGGGAAATGACGTTGAACGCATTTTATTCGGTTTTAAAACGTTATTATCAATATGCCAGCTGACAGCTGTCCTACGGAAGGGTTAGTGTCTCTCCCGTTTCGTGATGACGAAATGATAACTGTTTTTTTTTTTTATCTATCCGTGTCACCGAAGTGACCCATAAATCAACAAAAATAAATCGATTTTCGTTCCGAAAATACAAAAGTCCCGTGCGAGCCACTAATTTAGTTTAGAGATCGGGTTTCGGTGATCACGATGTCCATCCGCTTTAGTGAGTACATTTTCAGACTTTTGCAGACTTTTTCGATCGCACGCAAACAAACAAATCGACGGACCCTTTTTTTTTTTATTAAGACGATGCCACACCGGTGTGGCGGTCTTAAAAACGTGCGACATAGCAAATTTGCGTTTAGAGGCACTTCTGCGCCGTTAGTTTTAATATTACAGCCAAATTGACCTATTACCAAATACGGTGGTAAGAAGATTGTCCGTATCCCCTAGCGTAGACGTTTTTTTCGATATTTCAATTTTCAAGCGAGATATTATAGTAATCTTAGTTTCGGAGCGTAGCAAGAAACGTGTTGGTTTTACAATAATGTTTTAATTTTTTATTTCTATACTGTGTATGAAATGTCTATCAGAAACCTTGCACAGATGTACCAAGTGCACTATCTTATATGAACGAAAATTGTATTTAGTCGATACTTTAAGAAGGTCAAAACGAAAACTGAAAATTTAGGGCGATTTTACGTAATTTGTATCCGATAGGTACTTTGCGGATAAATTGTTAAAACTAAACAGAAATGCATGGAAATTTAGCAGGAGGTGCATTATAATTCGTACTTTGGGGGCGAATAAAAAATTAAATTCAATGTAGTTGTTTTTTTTTTTTTTTCGAAAATCTTAAATATTACGACCTTTCAAAACATGTATAATCGAACTTCGCTCCGAATCGTTTTTCGTTAGTAATGGTTTGTCGTTGCGTAGAGATATAAATTAAATTCCCCACTTCATCCTACCTTTCCGAATTTTCTCCCACAACAATGGCCCACCCGTCGTGCGAAATATGTGCGGTTTTTTTTTTTTAAATCGCGTTATGTCGCTTACCTACTCATATCTCGGTAAAAAATTAAAATATCGAAAAAACGTCAACGCTATTGCACAGATAATCTTCTTACCAATGAGTTTGGTAATTGGCCAATACGCTTTGATGTTAAAACTAACGTCATAAAATGATTACCTAATAATGAACGCGAATTTGCTACGTCGTACGTTTGTTAGACGGAGACAGCAAATACGCATACCACTTTACGTTTCGTCACATTTTACTCCGTTTTGGAATATTCTTTACTGACATTATAATCATACATTTATATTATTAATTTTGTTCATAGCAGTTCACCTCGGCACCTGTTACCTATCTATTTTTATCGTCCTATGGTGACGGTGTACATACTTCATAATATACATAAACCGGTATGTTGTATTGCCGGTTTCGGACATTTCGAGGAGTTTTTATTTAATATGTGTGTTTTTTTTTTCAAGCATAACATTTACTAAACGGTAACTCACTGTACACTTTGGTCAATTGTTTCCGAACGTGTATTGACCATCCGTTCTTGACTTTGTCGTGCATCTTTGGTTTCGGATGATATCTGTTAGAACAAAATATAAGGTGAAATTTAAAAACTACGTACAAAATTAATATTATTATTATTTAAGATTTAATTTACAATATCTATCTGGGATCTACCTACCTTGTATTGGAATAGTGACAGTAAATAAATACGAATATATACGAAGCGAATTCTTAACAAATTAACTTATCAAAAATATAATTTACTGTAAAAAAAAAAAAAAAAAATCAAGTAAAAGATAATTAAAATAATGTTTTTATTTTTTATTATAGAGTTTGACATTGAATAGTTATTTAAATAATGTGTTAAGCGTGTTTCAGCGAGACCCCCGCGTCTCGATTTCGTATACAGGCTATAACGCGAAAAGCCGACGCATGAAATAACTTTTGTTCCGATCGATATTTTTAATTCGACTTTTATCGTAACAATTACAAGAACGATTTAAAATATTACGTGGCGGATACTCACAGTATAATCTCTTGGAGTTCGTCAGAGGTGTTGTCTACGTCGATCCATTCTTCGTCCAAATCGTATTTGCCGTTCGGGTCAGCAGCGCTGACGCTGTCCGATGTGATGCCTTTAAAACAACGGTATGAAAATATAATATATCATTATGATATTCAAGAATAAAGTAATTTGTATGCGTTTATAAAATCGAAATTGTATGTATTTTCGAACCGATGTACGTACACGATTATTATGCTTTGAAAAATTCAAAATATGTTAAACGCACGGACATTACGATTTGAGTATTAACTATTAAAATAATATCGGGCGAAAAATCTGAATATTCAAAATGCATAATATAGAAACTTTGTAAAAGCCAGATGCAACTTTTGAGTCAGAAACACGGACGCTAAGCCGGTGAGAAGTCCCTTGCTGTGTTGCAAAGAAAGGTGCTCAGAAAATATAATAATATGGTGTGTGCAACGGCGCGAATTCGGGACAATGGAGAATCTGGAGAAATAGAGAGACGGCAGAAACGTATCGGAGTGCGAATATTGTGGAAGACGTTATCATTAAGCGAATCAAGCGGGCACGCGTATGATGCGTGCGTAAAAATGTACCGTTGATGAGAGTTGTGTTAAAAAGCATTCTGCAAAAGGAGAAGATCGATATCGGGGGGACGCCATAGGTTAAGACGGGAAGATAGGGTTGAAAAAAAAGATGTGGAAAAAGCAAAACCCGAATGAAGTGAATTGGAAGGACTAGCCGTCGGAACGGGAAAACTGGAAACAATTATGATGGGCAGCATAGTCTTAAGAGCGAAAACAAACTTAATCGCAAAAATAGTCACAAAGACTCGTCACAACTTTTCGGATATTGAAATTCGATAATAAAACGTCTGGTATATTTTCCGGTCTACTGTGAAATGTTAGCGACAATTATATCAATGAAATATAACTGAATAGTATAAAATAAGAAAATTAATCAAAATACCCACAAGTTATAACTGAATAAGATCTCTGAATAATTGGGAAACGGTATCGCTCGATTTTAAAGAAAAGGCCGTAGTGCGTAGGCCATCGAATTTTGAGGGAAATAAATTGGATGGAATCGCGGACAGTACCATCATTCGTGTTGCGCCGAACTATAGAATATTATTATCTTTTAAAAAAATACATATGTACACAGTATATCTGTATCGGAAAACTCTGCGACGGCGGTGCACACACGTATTAATTAAATCCATTCGACCCTACTCGGGTGTAAGTTCAGGGGACGAATACGGTACCGCTCCGGGACTCTTAAAGTTCCGTGCCCGACTCGTGAGTTTCATTGTGTAATATTACGTCCGTTTTCGCGAGATATTCGAAACGTCTTTGTGAAACGCCAAATGTTACGCCAAGCACGTCGGCTGCGGACAGTAGTGCAGCGTGTATACTACACAACATTATGTTCGACTTACCGGACGAAGTGGATTCCGACGGAGTGTTCAATCCGTAAATGCTGTTGTCGATGTCCACCAAACTGTCGGACAGTTCTTTTTTCAGAGGACGTCCGCCGCCGCCGCCGTCATCGTCCCCGTCGACTACCGGAAACGGCTGGGGCGACGCCGCCTGCGACACCGCGGCAGCGAGAACGGCCGTGTTGTGCGGCGGCGGCAACGGCGGCGGCGCCTCGACCGTCTCGTAGTCGGTATCCTCGTCAACCGGCCGCTTGCGGCCCTCCGATCCGGAAACGGCGGCCGCGGACGACGGGGAGGCGTAGGTCGCCGTCACCGCCGCGGCCGCCGCGGCCGCCGCTACCATCACGTCGTCGTAGAAGTTTCGTTCCTCGTCGCCGCCCTCGTAGACGTGACTGTCCTCGCCGCCCTCGATCGTGGTGTAATGGTCGCCGTCGCGGTCCGCAGCGCCGGCGGTACCGGTGTAATACGAACTCTCCAGCACCACGTCCGGCAGTGGCGACGGGTCCGGGGCTTCCGCGGATATTTGCATGTCGCACAGTTCCTCGTAGATGGCTTGCGGAGGTTCGCCGGCCGTTATGTAGTGATAGTTGTGGTCGCCGCCGGCCGACCGTCGCTTGTATTCGTGTATGAAGCTCTTGGGCTGACCGTTTCCGGGGACGGCCGTGCGCGGTGACGGGACGTCCGACTCGTCCGCGATCAGAGGCGGTGCAGGGAGTTCCGGCCGGCCGGCTGGCGGTGACGACGGGAGTTTCGTCGACTGAACGGCATTGACAAACGGCCGCAACGGGGGTTCCTGTTTGGCGTCGCGTCGCTCGTCGACGTCGTCCGCCGGCGTCGGCCTTTTCCGATTGTGCAAAAAAGAACTGTTGGGTTTCGGCTGGATTTCCGGCGGCGACGAACGCGCGGTCGCCATTGGCTGCGGTTGCAATTGTTGCTTTTGCGGCGACGCGCGTTCCGTCTCCGCGGACTGTGACTGCTGCCGTACCGCGATTGGCTCCGGCGACGTCGCGTTTAACACGCTCTCCAACCGGGCGTCGGGATCCCTGGCGATCGACAGCCGTTTGTGTTTGTTAAACAAACGATGGTCCATCGTAGGTTTCGCGGTCACGGCCGGCGCCGTCCTAAGTTCGTCGGGTCTCTGCGAATTGATCAAGTTGGGTTTCGGGCCTAACACGCTGGGTTTCTGGCCGACAGTTTTCCCGTTTTGAAATTGCTCCGTTCGCTGTTTGGCTATGGACGACGTAGCCGACTGCTGCGGGAGCTCTTGCGGCCTCAGCCGCCGCTGCTGTTCCACGGCGGTACAATTAGCCGCCTTCCGCCGGTGATCCGAATTGGTGCGCACTACGACTATGTGGTTTCCACCGCCGCCACTGCCGGTACCGTCACCACCGTTCGCGTGCTCGTCGTGCTTCTTGCCCGCGGCCGACTCGAATTTCTCGACGGTGGCCCGGACCGCGGCTCCCTTGGCCAGCGTCTTGTTCACCTTTTTGATTATGTCCCGCGTCGTGGTACCGGTTTCCGCGTTCACTACCACCACCGCGTTGAACTTGGACGCTAGCTCGGCTACCGTCGTGGACGGGACCGTCACGCGGACCGCCCGGTAGCCCCTGACGCTGCCGGCCCCGGCGATCTGCGCGCTGCCGCCGCCGCGCGACTTGAAACTCGAACGTTTTATCTTGCCGCCCCCGCTGGGCAGAACGGTGGCGTTGGCGCTCGCCGCCGTTTCGGTAATCATCATGTTTACAATGCACCTGACCGCTGTCGGACACTGCTCGGTTACTGGGCCGCCGTCATTATTTTCCGTTTCGCTCCATTTCGGTTCCTGCCAACAAAAAAAAATGAAACCCGCGTAAGTGTCGTTTTTAGTTATCGGAAAACCCGTTTAATAGTAACGATATTTTGACAACGCCGCAGTGAGTAGGGGCCAGATTTTTCTTCTTTTTTTTTTTAAAAAAAAAAAATTTCCATTCGTTAATTACTGTAAACGCTGTACAAAACCGCTTCAAATGAATCTTTGAAAAACGAAATACGTATGTCAACGAAAAGCAATGAATTAGAAAAAAAAAAAAACGGAAATAATAGAAAAAACAATCGACGAAAATACACGAGATCTCTCGAAATAATAATCGGAGTCCAGTGAAGTCTAGACATTATCAATTTTCAATCCGATCGATCAACGCGTTTATTATAAGGATACGGATTTGTTATCGCCACTGTTGCATGGGTTAATTTCATTCGGTGTTAATTTTCCGTATACATATAATAGACGCGTATGTATTTTTTTTTTTTTCTACTGGCACACTTTTTTTTTATTGTCCATGGTGATATTTATCGCGTTTACTAACACACTTTTTGCGCGCAACAACATAAATCGATTTTTTTTTTTTTTATTATTGTTGGACAGCGACCAGGTTGAATTATACGAACGAAAATAACGAAACTACGACTTAATTCGTACCATCGTATTAAATCTTTTGTCGCGGTTTCCATACAATTGAATTGTTTATAGGAACAATATGTACAGAGTGATTATTTTCTGTCTTATTTTAATCACAGTTCACCAATTTTCTACAAAAATGTCGATTGATTTCGGGTTTTTTTTTTTTTTTTTCATTCATTATATTGAACGGTTTCGTCGTGGTCTTATTCACAATATTTTCGACAAATGTCACCCGTTTTTCCATTTTAAACACGGTCGTAACTATATCGCAAACGTCCGTGATGTAGCCGATATTAGCGACGTATTGTACACGCGTCGAATTTGAAAAGGGGGGAGCGAGGTTTACCCTTTAAAAAAAATCTATTTTCCCGTGTTTTTCCATTTTTTTTGGAAAACTCCTGGGAAAACTGTCGGCTCGGTCTACAGGGCCGAGGTCCTCGGTAATACTTGTGTCTGGGGGGGGGGGTCCTTCAGGCGCCGAGATTAAGATTTCGTCGTTTAACTACTGACCGTAATGCAGATTGAATAATATTAAGGGAAAAACCTGAACATTCACATTTTTTTCAATTTGAGAAAAACGTGTATTCAATTTCGAAACGTAACAATTTTTTTTTTTTTACAAAGTAAAAAGTTCAAATTGAATTAAACTTTGAAATGTAGTGTCCGGAATACAACAATGCGATATTCTTAATGACAGTCGACACCCAATCGATGGTATGTATACAAATGAGCTCAATAATTTTATTTTTCTGGTTGTATAATACTAAAGTACCGTTTGAATGAAATATTAATCATATCTCGTTGATGTGCGGCGTAGTACATTAGTACGTATCTATATGGTACTTATATTATTATAATAGACGACGAGGTCGTCTCGTGCGTCTGTCGTTGAACCGGACCTTAAAAAAAAAAAAAAAAAAAAACACACATGTACTACACGACTACAGTGTCGGGTTTTACGTGCTCGCGCCGTCGTGATAAGGCGATATTTATAATTTTGTACTGTCGACACGCCTTAGCGACCGAATCGTCAGGACGTTGTCGCCGTCGCAATCGAAATCTCTACAATAATATCGGTATACAGGGTGATCCATCCTCTATAAGACATTCTCTATCTCGGAAAGTATGAACTTTTTCAGGAATTTTTAAACGAAATATTTCATGTTCAAGTTCGGGTAGAGACGGGTACCTATTATAATATTGGATCATTAACATTTAAATGGCTTTTGAATGGTGTACCGTTACTCTCCCCTACTCATAAAACGATAATCGTGAATCGTAGAACGTCTCGTCAACGGGTTAACGGAAATGAAAAAATGTCAACACCAAAATAAATTTAAATTCGTTTATTTATGCGATTTGTAAAATAGCGTGCTATTTGAAAAACAAAATTGGGCGGTGATTTCGCCGCCGAAAATTAGAGTGACAAAAAATAACAGTAATGTGACATTTTAGAGCTGTTTGTATCATAAATTGTCAAAAAAAAAAAAAAGACCCAACAACAATTTATACTTTCCCGGGTGATGAGAGTGTTATCGAGAATTGTTCACCCCTGTATAATAATTATAGTCGGGCTATCCGGTTCGGGTGTTGAAAACATCAAATAACATTGACAACAATATTACCGATTAGACATCCGCAATCATCGTTGGTGTACGTGCAGATTTAGCCACAGACTCGGAGCAAATACTTTAATAAAATATTTTAGAAGGACGCTATTTGATTGTTTCGGTACATCCAACGGGAATATAACGAAATCGACCTTACGCAGACTGCGTGGAACTCGCTTGATTTTGGTTTCAGAGTAAAAACACCCATTATATAGAATTAATAGAAGACAATATACCGGAGGGCAGTAACTTTTTCGAAATAGTACAGTCGTTAGAAATCGATGAATTCGTTTTCATGCACTGAACGTTGTACAACGATATAGTGGTTGGTGATTCGAACAATTCGAACAATTCGAATAATAGGGAAAACGCATGGTCTCGCCCTGCGGTATATCGTCGTTTTTTAATTTCGTAATTTGTGATTTTACTCCGAAATCAAAATTAAGCGAGTTCTATTACGCAGTAAGGTGGATTTTGCCATATCGCCCGTAAGTTTGACAGAGACACCACACGCGGGTATAGGTTCCTCATAACGTCATAACTCATAAGTCGTTTTCGGTTCGTTAATTAGTGTGCGCAACGCGACAGTGTACAATCGATTTAGACGAAGACGGTTTCGGTGTCGATGGCGATTCCGAGTCGAAAAATAATACCTCAAACGATATACGTTTCAATCGCGGGTCGGCGGTTTTGGTCACCCGTGAACTCGTCGAATTGCCGCCACTTAAAAACTGTCGTGTGAAGGCCGTCGCCGCGATAGCAGCGCGTGTGCCGTCTCTGCTGTCTTTTGTTACAACGGATACTAGGCAAAAAAAATAAATAAATATGCTGAACAGACAGAAATACTTTTTAAATCGATTTAGGAGATACAGATTAGATGACGACTGTAATAGGTATACATTTCGTCGGCGGTTTTTTTTCGGAAACAAATTCATTAAAAAGTGATTTTTACTATCGAAATTTCAAATACCTTTCGAAATAGCTCAACAATCATCGAAATGTTTTGAACGTTTACCACGTCCAGAAAAGGCTAATTATAGGTAGTTGTCATTCCGTGAAAACGTCATGTTTCCACGATTATTTTTAACCGAGTCAAAAAAAAAAAAAAAAAAAAACGATTGCAGGGATCGTTAGCAGGGAGAACAATAATGAAAAATAAAACTCCACCGTACAGTAAAACCAATATGGACACCTCGCTATACGTTCAGAATCTAAAACGCTGCGGAAAGTATTGAAATGAAGACAGTCTTTCGTCGCGTGTAACCCAAAAACCGCGGCGTTTGATCAACACGAGGCGTCCGTTAAACGGTTGTTTTTTTTTTTTTCTGTTTTGTATTCCGCAAAGTGCGTGGCGCACACGAAATGTGTACACTCGGTGTGTGACACCGACATGGCGTACGACACGACTAATATGGATAACTACCTACTATACGCGAACTGTGCGCCGCCGTCGGAATGTCTCGACGAAAGACGTTTCGTCATTAATATGCGCACGCGATTGCGTTGAACATTGTTATTGTTGTTGTTGTTCGCGGGTATGAACCGTACGCAAGAAAAAAAAAAAATAATAAACCGTCGGAGTAGTAAAAAGAATATTATTATTATTATTATTATCATCGTCTGTCGGGCGTAGGTGTGGCGGCCAGATAACCTTTCGAAGGCCTCGCGAGGCCGTGTGGCAAAGACCTCGCGCGCCGATAAATTTTGTTTTCCACCCGCGGACGTGATGTCATCGAACTCCTAGCTCGCCAATATTCGGCCCCCTCCCCCGTCCCAAAAAACGAATTCATTTCAGTAATTACCACTCCACCGTCTAGTCAACGCGATAGATCGTCGGTACGCGCAGCTTCCGTCACCGGTCACCGAGGAGGGGGGGAGGGATCTCGCCCGGGGAACCGAAAAACGGATTATAATATTATACAGAGCGATTCGCGCGAACCGACAGTTATCCATGTCATACAGGTACGTCCGAAAAGTTACGGATTGTCTTAAACGAGGGAGACGTTTTGAAAAAAAACGTTTTATAAATAAAATCGACGAAACGATAAAATACGAGTTTGCCTATACGTCTAAAATCACGTTAAAAAAAAAAAAAAACCGAATTTACACGAAATCTTCGTACGACGCATTAATAATAATAATAATAATATCGTTCGCACATAATAATGATACCGTAATTCTGTATAGTATAATAATAATAATAATCACTCTGTACAGTTTGTATACGATTTTTGATGTCCCCCCCCCATCGAACGCGTTTTATTTACCGCGACGAAGGCGTTTTGAACGTTGTTTCACGGAAACTGACCTACGACGGCCGCTCGACAATAACAATAATATTACGGCGGTGTCATCGGTATAAATGTCGAGTATTTTCTGTTTTTGTTTTACAAAATTAACCGAGATGCTTGAACTATGTAAGGGTACCCAAGGCCATAACTGAAGGGAGGGGGTTCCGGCGTTGTACGTTTGAAAGAAAAAAGCCTAACGGTATAGGTACCATTAGAATATCCCCGTAATGAACAAATTTCGGACCCTTCTCGTGAAATTCAGTATCTATGATACCAGTCCACTCCTCCCCGCAACCCGCTACTTGAATCAGTTTCAGATCTGCCACTATCGCCAGTCATTTTTGATATTGTTTTCATCGCGCCTTTGTTTTTTTTTATTTCTTTTGTGTATTAAAAAATTACATTAAATCGTTTTCCGCAAAACACCGTCGGGTCATTTACAATCGCCATTCCTCCGGGACAACACGTGAAAAAAAAAATAATAATAATAATAATAACAACAATAAAACACATCTCTCGGTACGCGCAACGAGGAATGTAACTATTTTTTTTTCGCCCTCGATATTTGTATTCGCTGCAAACTTCACTATATAATCGTTTTTACACTAACACGTGTCAGAGATTCACCGACCATCCTACTCGTCGGTGGTTCGATCCGTGCGTGAATACTCGTGTAACACGCTGTGTGTTTATCGTTAGTTGGATTTAACGATTTCAATAATGTTATTATGTCGTTCGAGTACCTATGTCTACGTACATGTGATGAGCATTGGCGATTATAAACATCATATACCACGTATAGTTTAGCGACTGTTACCACGCGTATAAAGTTATATCGTCTTGAAACCAGCGTTTGGTAAAAAAGAGAATATTCTTTTCTAAATATAAAAAAAAAACAAACCAACAAAAATACGGTATGATTATTATTAAGTGGTTTTCCTTGTATTTATTAATATTTTTTTGGGGTGGTAGGTTATTGTACTGTAGACGCCGCTAATAAGACTCACTTCGAGACTAGCACAGAATGAGTCTATTATGGCCGAATGAACCTTACAGGCAAAATGGAGAAAGGATAAAATGTATTTGGATATGTCCGGATCGTTCTAAGTGATTTTGAGTGTAATAAGTGACTGAACCTCATATCCGTGAGTCTTATAAGCGGCGCCACTGTATATATGTGTAACTATTTACTGCGGAACAGTGGAGTGGGAAACGTCCTTTTGTGTAAAGCCCAACGATTTTCTCTACTTGCCACCACCACGATCATTTTTTTTAATCATAATTGTTCATAAACAAGGGCTTCACCCGTATCCATTGAATGAAATACAATCGGTACAAATTGTTAATAAATTGTTATATTTGAGGTCTCAAGCAGCAGTCTTCGCCAAGCTACTGCTGCAGAATACCTATTTTCTTCTTCGCTACAACCGATAAGGATGATGTTAGCGACATTTAAGAACAGCATTTCTCCATGAACTGTATTACTAGCGGAAATTATTTTTAAAAACTAAAACGAATCGAACTGGCTCAGGTATAAATTGAGCATCTGGATCTTTATTTACGATGAGAATATAGTTCAGCAATTGTTTTTCTTTCTTTCTTCAGCGAAAATAATATACCTACAATAATTAATAATATGATACTCTTTTGTATAAATAATATTAGACATGACGCCGGTTAATGATGCGGTTAATCGATATGTAATTCTATACGACCGATTTTTTTCAACAAGGACGTGAGATCAACAATATGGTAACCAATATAAGTTTAAACAAAATGTCTCAGCAACGTATAATAGTGCATTTCTTTCACTAAAATTAGGATAATTATTTGAAAACTAATATATAGCGTCGCAACAAAACAAAAAAATCTCCCTGTATTATAAAGAAACAAAGAAAAAAAAAATATGAACCAATACATAAAGTACCGGGTGACTTCTTCCTTTTAATACAGGGTCATAGATATAAAAAAAAAGAAAATGTAGGTACCTCTATGGACTGACATCTCTTCGTATATTATACCGACACCACTTAGATTGTGTTCTAAAAATACAATTTAATATGTAAATAACGAGGTAACTAAACAAATACAATAGAATAGGTCAATATTTGCAAGTAAACTAAACATAATATATACGAACAAATAAATTAGCGATAGGTAATAATAATTATTCAAACGGCTCGACGAGTCACGGTTTTTCGTGTCGCAGAATTCTTACTGTCGTAAATTTATAAAAAAAATAATAATGAAAAGCCTTAATCACCATGAGTAATCAACTGCCGTAAGTGGGAAATTAGATAAGGTAAACTAGTTTAATCAAAATACTGCAAAAAGCATTGATAAACCATTGCAATCGAAAAACGGCCCTAAAAAGAGCTAGGTAAACTTGAAAGTTTTATGTATGTGTGTCTGTGTATAGAATTTCTTTCTCCGTAAAGTAATTTGCATGGTGAACTCTGTAGATATCAACAAATATAAACGTATCATCGGCACTTAAGGTAAGTTTTTTTTAAAATTTTTGATGTAGAAAATCAAGACAATTTTTTCGAATAAATGCCGTCGAGTGAAAAATTCAAATTTTTTATGATTTACGAGGTGTGAACAATTTTGAGAATTTTTAAAAACTGAAAAAAAATATATATATATATATATATTATACACTCAGAAACTAAAAAGAAAATATCCGTTTAAGCGAAAATAAGAATAATTGGAAAACGACATTTTGTTCATAATGTTTCGTTACATTTTAAATATTAAGTTAATTGAGCATCTCTTTATTGTTTTGTGTAACACACGATGGTTTTACGTCATTAAATTACAATTATTGTTTTCTCATATAGGTGTGTCAAGGGAAATTTAGGAGTAACTCTAATTAGAGTTAGAAAAAAACAAAATAATATTGTTAGTTTATTTATGTCTGTTTACAAAATTAATAATAATAATTGTACACGTGATTTTGTATATTATCGCATAACCATAAGAGTGAACAATAATATGTTTGGAAATAGAGCCAATATTGCCATGATGGGTGCGCCACTGTTGTAGGTGAGTAGTTGAGAAGGTAGGATAAATACATAAAGTTATTTAACTTATATCTGTAAGCAACGATAAACTATTGCTCGCGAAAAATGATTCGGAGCGAAGTTCAGTTACATATTTTTTGAAGTGTAATATTTATGAATTTCGTTAAAATTTGATATTCAAATTCTTATAGAAAAAAACTTCTATACGCTCCTTTTCATTTTCTTTTTTTTTTTATGAAAATTTGATCACACTAGAAAAAGATAAAAAAAATACAAGTTTTCTATGAAACGATCAAGTCTCTATCAATATTTTAAACTGAATGACATTAAAAAATGTAATTTAAAATAATAAAAGAATTACTTTCGTAAATTTTCCTGTTTTTTCTACGTCTTTCTTTGATTCTTCCTAATTATTATGAAAAATACTTAATATATCAAAAAACGACTTTCTCTTTCAGTGGTTCCGTATTAAAAGGAAGAGAATCAATTGTTAGTAATTTTTCGATTGGAGCAATATTTCTGGTAGAAAACATAGTGTACACAAATTTAAAATGATTGCAATCGTTTCGCGGCACATAGTAGCCTGTACTCCTGTTTTAGGTGGAATAAATTAACACCTCTTAATTTTTAGTTTTATTGATTGCATAATACATCAAAACTACATGATTTGAGAATGCTAAATCCAAACGTAGCGTCTGTTTTGAAGTTGGCTCCAAACGGTGGTGGGAGGGCTAGGAGGGACATTTATCTAAATCGAAATCCATTATTAATTTTAAAATAAATAAAATTGAAAAATGAATTAAATGCATACCTGTAGAATAATCGACACACCTCGAATGGGTATAAATGTTAATATAACAGTACACCTATATGAAAACATTATCTAATTATTCTTATCGTCTGAACTGCCTAACGACCTCAGTATTATCTAAAATGCTATTTTTATGTTTTGTAGACCATACAATCGGGTTATTACAACGAAAAATATTACTTTCAATGTACTTTTAAAATGGACTTTTCCCCCAAAAAAATTGGATTACAAACCACAGTGCATCGTGCTATAAATATTTACCGTTTTACCTATAATTTTCTTTGGGTTTTCCTAATTATTTTGGAAACCCCTTAGAAAATCAAAAAATAACTTCACGGGTGCACCGACTAAATAGAATTACCATTCAGAATAGGTGCTACACTTGATACTTCGGAATAAGATTACTGGTATAAAATTCGCTCACAGACACACATCATAGTAAAACCAATAGATCCCTCGCCACCCTCCGAATCTAAAAAACAAAACCAATTTATCGACATTTAATGTGGAAAAACTATTGGAAATTAAGATATTTTGTAAAAACAAAGTGCACCATGAATATTATACCGGAGAAAATAAGAGAGAATAGATTGAGGGGTTATGTTGTAATGGGCTTGTCGAAACTTATAAGACTTTATAATACAATGACATTATATATAGTTTTCTGCGTCTTATGAAGTCCCGAACAAATTTGAAATCAATAAACGAGGAACAATACTGCGTGTTTAATTTTAGTAACACGCTCGAGTCGAGAAGTTTTCGCATCGAAAGGCATCGAGAGCGATCGGATTCTGATTTTCAATATTGTTCCGGACACGACAAACGATTTTGATTTCGAATCCGATTTGATCTCATCGTGTTTATTGAGACTTGAGAAATAATACACGGTGAGTGAAATTACATATTTGCAAAAAAAATATCCAAAAACAATTAAAATCATAATGACATGACGTATGTCGGACACAACTAGGTGACCTGTACATTACAAATATATAAATAATACCGTTCTACATAATATAGCTACTATAATGTATGCATAGGGGTTATGGGTATCGCAAAAAAATAAAAATCATATGGAATTTGTTAGGGTTTCGTGTACAGATTATATTTAATCGAATATTTTCAATTATTATGCTTCGAAACGTTTAGCTCAAACGATCAACAATTACTCGTAGCACCCGATATTCAGTGCTTGAAATGAGGGGATGGGGTGCACAGGGGGACGGAGTTCCACTACTATTTTTAAACATTTTTACGGCTCCCACACTAATTATATTTTACAGCATTAATCCATAATTTGAGGGGATGCTTATTTTTTTTAAAGCTCGATAGCACCGCTTTTTTCTAATTCGAGCACTGCCGTTATTTATTCGTTTAGCGCGCGATTCTATCTGCGTACAATACGTGAATTTACGTACAATTTAATACCGAGTGCGTGTACATACATATATATATATATATATTATTATTATACTAGTATAATAGTATGGGCTTTTAAATTATTTAAGCGTTTTTAAGTGTAGTGGTCGACCCCCTGAACAAGGGCGCCCGTAGGGTAATTTTCAAACGGGGGACAAAATGAAACAAGATTCTGAAAACTATTTATAACATATAAATACTAGATTGGTATTATTTCTTGAGAAAGAATGAAAAAGAAAGTGTACGTAACTGTCTAAACATTTAGCTTTAGAAAAACCGTTAAATGCTGAAATCAAGACATTACCATGACTGTTTATAGTATACATTATACATTCGAGTAGACAGTTACCTATAAGTAAAAGACAATTATAATATTAAATAACTAATATTTAATAAAAAAAAAAAAAAAATTAAATAATTTATGTCTACCTTCATGCATAGACAAAGAAGTTTCTGGCTTTTGACGCTTTGAAGTAAATATATATATATATATAACTTTGATTTACTCATTTCAATAAAAGTACCGCGGAAAATAATATATAATAGACAATAATTAAATTAACATTAAAGACTAAACAAATGTTTATGGTTATCATCGTCGTTCTAAAGAATATAAATAACATTTATTTTGATGGGGGTTCAAAGCATGCATAATATTTGTTTGTTGGAGACTTTATTATTTTCTATGGGAGGGGGGGGNGGGGGGGGGGGGGGGGGGAGGGAAGCATGTCTTCATTGGGTAAAACCGGATCGTAGAGACCGGACGACGGCAGTTATGTTCCGAGATAAAATTCAAAAATATCCTATACGCGTCACAACCGATACAAATTACTTTTGCTCGTAAATCCGCCTAATCAGACCAATCCCCGGGAGTACGAAAAAAAAAAAAAAAATCGGACCAAACCACGAATTAAGGGTGCGAAAAAATAGGGCCTCTGGATTTTTGAAACTACGTGAGCCGATCTTGCGCCAGTCCGCCATCGATTGTAATGTTATTATTCATTCAAATTTTGGCGTCGATCGATCAAAACGTGCTATTGGAAAACGAAATTTACGAATGACTGCAGATCTATACTATTATTATTGTATTATATATTTTTGAACAAATTGAAAAGGAACTAGGAAGATGTCATGTATAGTGTGCATCGTTGTTGAGAAACGAATCGTAACCTTGAACAAAATATTCTTTATTGTCTGTACGCGTTTTATGTTATTAACAATGATAATATTATGTTCGTTTTCTATAAAAAACATTTTATAAAAGAATATTATGTTATACGAGAACGCCATAAATAATAAGCGGAACGCACGGTATAAGATATCCGAAAATATTTCGTCAGAACGGTATTTTAGCAGGAAAGTATACCTGCGTGGCTTGATGCAAAACGGGCCGATTACAAAAAAAAAAAAAAAAAATTGTACCACGTACAAACAATGGAGCGCTTTACGTTAGATTTTTCGGAATTTTCCGGACATAAATTTATTTTCTCGATTTTCAATTTATTTTTTTGTTTCAACATTCGCCCTACTTGTACCAAGCTACAGGGAAAATTCACCCGCGCAATATTGTTTTGCCCGAAGCGTATTTCATCCCGTCGCTACAATTTATACGAATAATTGTTTTTATGATGCACAGAACCGCTTATTTTAGTCGAAATTTTATATCAAAAAATATTCACGTCCCTACGCGTAGTTACCCCGACCGCTTAAAAAAATTTTTCTTCCGAATAACGCGAGGCGTTTGTACACTTTGTACTTTACAAAATGACGTTACAGCGTTGGGAGAATGGGACAGTCGAGAGGAAGACGGTGACCACTGATCGCCGTCCCGTGCATAATATTATTATTACTTCATCGTTTATTACTGACCGTTAAACCTATAAAGAACTTGTTTTTTTTTTTTTTTTTTGACAATTGACCTAATAACCCGACTGGTTTAAACTATTAAACCGCTATGTTGCGTCGACTGTATATCATTACAATAATAACATTATCATTTCGTCCGTAGTCACGCGCCGAGTTGATTTCCATGACGATAAAAAGATTTCAGTTTTTTTTTTTCTTGTTTCGCCACTGTTATACAGAGACGGTAATTAAAGCAGGGGATGAAATGCGTGTCGTCGCATATTTTTCGGTGCATTACTACGCGAACGTATCAATTTTAAAAATTAATTACAACCGAAACTTTTTCGTTCTTCGGCGGTGCCGTTATAGAGAACATAATTTTTTTTTCTGTTTGCGTATCCACCTGTTTATAATAATTATTTACATTTTTCGCGGACTCGCAGACCAGTTTTAAAGTAATCTTAACGGTTTCGGGCCGCGTCTACGCGTTGAACTCGTGCGATACATTTACGAATTTCGCACGTTCTTATGTACGGGCTACATACGTATAATGTGTACGGAGTATCCCACGAAGACATATTACCCATTGTAATACCTCCCGACGAAGTAATGATAATCGAAATCTGTTTTCTTTTTTTTTTTATATTACTCACAAAGACGAGGACTACAAATATTTATATTCCATTTAATTTTGTATGTTTTTATAAAAAAAACTTGAAAAAGTAATCACTTTTTATTTCATTATTTTTGAAAAGTTTGAAGATGGCCATTGTACAGATCCAAACCGATCAATGAAAGAACCGCGTTTGGATACAGCTCAAAAGCTATAGAGGTTTTAATAATGCGTTACCGGGCGATGACAGAATGATTAGAACTTTTGAATTTTTAACAAAACGGATCAAAATGTCATCTTTCCTATCCTCACTCATAATAACGGAACTAGTCATAAATAACTGATGTTTCGTAATAAAATAGTAAAGTTTTCTAGAGAATTATTTTCCATCACATATAAGTAAGTTTTCAATGGTTTTCGACCACGGACTACGAAACAGAGAAAGAAGAAAGAAATGGTTATAATAGATAAAATAAATTAATAAAATAATTTGAATAAAACTCGTTAGAATTGTTTCTAGAAAATTATAACCATACAAACCTTATTTATAATTTAATACACAAATTACACGATAAAATAAACAGTTATGATATTCAAAAAGTCGATGGTCTTGCACAATTTTTTCAAAGGCTCGCAAAAAACAAAACAAAAAAAAAAATCGATTATTTGAAATTAATTTAGAAAATATTGACTGTATGATTCGAATCGACCGGACAAATTCGGGGAGTGGAGGCTGCGTCAAGTTAGTCCCCCGAAATGGTTTTCTGGGTTATAAAATCTGTACGAATTGTTTGCTAATTATTTTAAAAAACCAATTCGCAAAAATATTGTCATACTTTGCGAATCGATCGGACAAAGTAGGAGGGAGGGGAGCAACTTCTCGGCCATTTATTTCCGTCGCCGCGATCTTTCTTCCTGACGAATTAAACGCAATTACATCCGTTGTAAGAGACTGTACCGTACGCTATCAGTGTCTCCGCCACAATAATAATAAATAACAATACACACGCGCGACGACGACGACGTAAATATATACAGGGTGATTTACTAAGCGTGCTTAACCATTTTTTCCGGTTAAATTTCGCATGTATTCAAATTCTGATTTTCGGCATTTTTGAATGTAGTTAAAGCCGATATTTTCGAATACTTTCACAACATTCAAAGAGTATCCAGTGGCGACACCAACTTCAAATGCCTTCAGTGGCCAAATTAAAAATGTCATAAATATACGCGGTATTACTTTAAACACATTTCGGTGTTAAAATTGTCGACCCGTTAACGAGACATTCCACTTTTAAATTCAGATAGGGAGAGAGTATCATTTGTGTGGCGGCACCGGCACGGCGCCCGGCGTTTCATTAGTGCTCCACTACTGTCCCCCTACGTACACTTAAAAGCCGAATATCTCGTCAGCGGGTCGGGGTGAATCAAATATTTTACCACCAAAATGTATTTAAACTAATACCCCGTCTATTTGTGGAGTTTTGCATACCGGTTCTCGTTTGAAAAACCAAAGTCGGTATCGCCACAGAATGCTCCTTAAATGTTGTGAAAAATCCAACTATACGAGAATACCGTCACGGATTACACGTGAAAATTCCGGAAATCAGAATTTGAACACGCGCTAAATTTAACCGGGAAAATGAGAAGACCGAGCTTAGTGAATCACCCTGTATGTATTATTATGAATTTTTTTTTTTTTTTTGTTGTTCTCCCAGAGAAAGCCTCGTCCCGGGAGCCTATCCGGCGGTCGGCCGCATGTTTCGAAGTAAAACGCACCGCCGCCGTCTCGCGGTGGGTTATTTCGTTCGCATTGTGTTCGCAATACCCGCGCGGCGTAATCGTCGTCGCGTTATTAAATTTTATTATCTCGACGTCGCCTTTCTGTTTCCGCAGCCACCGCGTCCGCCGCCGCCGCCGCCGTATTCGAATTCGTAATTCGGCTTAATAATAAAATACACGCCCGCGCAACGTTACGGTATCGTAATAATACCGTTGCAAACGACAATGTTCTCGCCCTCGTTCGCGACAACGGCGTTATTATTGCCGCGTTAAGGTACGGTTTCCCTTGCGCGATCGCGAACCTCGAACCGCGAACGCGATCCGATCTAAGATCGCGCGACTACTGATACAATGTAAATTAAATACAGGTGGTTTTCCTCGCGCGATCGCGGTCGGCGATTAATTTGTTATTTTGAAAGACAATTACGATATGAGTATATGACATTCATTTATGATTGACTGCTGGTTGACGTTGGTCGTGTCTTTCAACAATGAGTGCTCCAATGACCAAATTTAGCAAAGTAGAAGATGAAGTTATTGGTTTCCTTATAAAAAAAAAAAAGTCGGATTTAAGGCTAGGCCGTCTCTTATTAAATTTAAAATAAAATCAAACTGATTACGATTTATTCTAAAAAATTCTCGAAATTTGATTTCATTATTATTCAAATGACCGTTGATTAGTATTCCATAATAACCCTCCGTACTTCTCTTTGTAAATAATTGATCACGGCCTTTTCTTTTTTCTTCTGACAAATATAAGAGCGAAACGTCATCATCATATTCTTCTTCAAAAAGAATTTTCAATATATTCACGTCGTCAGATGTATCCATTATAATTTAAAAACGCACAGTATGTTCGTTTATACCGTTCACTAGAGTACTTCACACATGAAAATATTAAGTACGACTGAATGATGAGACATAAATTACTCTCGATCGCGACGTAAAATCGTTCAGAATAAACCAAGACGATGCGAACGCGATCTTCTAGTTCGTCGATCGCGTTCGCTGACAGCGTTCGCGATCGTGCAAGGGAAACCATACCTTTAATAAGGAAGAGATATTTGATAACTACAATAACGGAGCAACAGTTTGATCGTAATGACAACCGGCACTGAACTAATTTAATTTAGTTTTTTTTTTTATTAAAGTTATTTACGAATATTGTATATACAAATCTGTGTACCTATGTTTTTTGTATTTATTTTTTGACAAAAATTACGTATTTTTACTTGAAACTTGAATAACATCATTATCATAACCTACACGAGTATCTTGTATAGCTATACACAAATTTGATTTGATGACTATACAATTTAGAGTTTACAAGTGCAGTAAATAATTTTAAAAAATAATAACTTTTAACTTAAATTATTATTTTCCTGAACATTTGAAACTCATCTTATTAGCTGTTATTATTATTTTTTTTTTTTGGGGGGGGGTTAACTTAACTTAAACTAGTTGAAAATAAAAATCGGTTAACCTGCCCAGCTTTGAATTAACTTTAATAACAAATTCGAAAATCGTCACTGTTTACTACAATTTCAATAATATTTACTCGGATGTTAGTGCGTCGATTTCGAGAAGATCTGAGAGTTCCGTGGAGGTTATGGGAACAGGATAGTATTTTTCTTTGATTTCGTTCCTCGGACAGTGTGAATAAGCGGTCGAAACGTGCACGAATCCCTGAAATTTTACATACATTTATCGAAATATTTTAATATGACAATAATTAATTGCTCAGTCGTCGTCACTTTTAAATGTTTCATTTCAGCCGCCAACGCCAATATGTTCGTAGTTCCGAGGACGTTTATTTTCGTCGCCAAATCCAAAGGTTCATTAAATTTAACCGTAGCGGCGCAATGAAAAACGAAATTCACGTTCTGAATCAACCAATTACGATCGGTCAACGACAAACCCAACGACTGTTCTTCGATATTGCCGTTAATCACTTTAATGTAATTCATAAAATCGGGTTTCCTCTTTCGGAGTCGATCGAAAACCTTTTATAATATATAGAATTAAAAACGAAATTTCTCAGTGTATTATTTAAGGTACAAATATTATTATTGGAGGCTATTCTATGGTCTAACGTTTTAATGTTGCTTCAGCTACATATACACATCTAAGAAGATGAACAAGTGAGAAATTATAGTAACATGGTCCGATTACATTTTGTAAAGCTTACAATATATTATGATGGGTTTAATTTTCTCAGGTTTTTATGTTTTCTAGATTTCTACAATAAATATCACTTTTAATATATTTTTCGGTAGGTTATCAAAAATATCATCAACAGCGTATATTTTTGTAAGGATATAGCCGCTATTGACAGGGGCGTATTTACATATTTCCCATGTGTAGGCCTGTAGAAAATGTCCACCCTAAATAACTAAAATATCACACTAACTGAATTATCATTTAATTACTTACTATCTATAAAATAAATAATAATTAGGTAAGTATGAAAAAAAATTGTATTTAAATACTAAAACACAATTTCTTAAGAAGTAAATCATTTTTATTAATAATTAATAATTTATAAAATTAAAATCATTTTTTTAGACTTGTATATTATGATAATTATTAATTATATCTATTTTCGTCGATATTTGGTAACAGCAAATGTGTCACAATTCAATTTTTTTAACATGTCGTTCTCTATCGAGAGCAATGCTAAATTATGATTACTTTTTCATCAGTTAGAGTAAATCTTGGATAATATTGTAGACGTTATAAACATGAAAACGCTTTCTGTAGTACAATTAGACACTGGTACACGAATGAAAATTCTTAATGATGTATCAATGTTCGAAAATATTTCAATAGGCAACGATTTGTTTCTTAAATACTTGCGTAATTTGATCGGAATTAAATTATCTATGTCAATATCACTATTCAATAAATGCGACTGCAAATGTAAGCATTCTCACGAAAAAGTGTTGTCCAAATCATTTGGGTTTATATGTTTTGCAATTTCTCAGCTAACTCAACTATTCTTTGCAAAGAATTTAAAGATGTGATTTTTAATAGTACTTCGAATGTATCAAAAAACGTTTTGTAAAACTTAGGTTAGGTTAGGTTTTCAAGGTTTTCATTAGCCATTTTATCAATAATAACGTAAAACTTATAACCTTAAAAAATTTGTCAGCCCTCAAAATTGTTCACTGTAGTAATGTGCCTATAGTGCCTGCATATAAATACGCCTCTGATTATTTAATATTATAATTTTGTCAAAAAAGTAAATAACAAAGCAATATGTGTATTATACTTACAACTTGATTATACATGTCCGTCATTCTTTGTTCGGCCGTCAAGCCTCTTTTATTTCGCACGAGGACTGCGATGGTTTTCAAGAGACCGCAGGATCTGAGCAATTTGTCTGTGAGTATCTTTCCCAAAAACCCCGTACTTCCAGTTATTAGAATAGTCCCGTCGTTAAATGTATCAGTTATTGTTTCCGTGGTCTTCATTATGAATTATTTACACGTACAGCAGCTGTCAAACGAATAGAAAAATAACCGTAACTTTAAAACAGCAATCCAATTGAATAATAATAGAAAAGGTGTCCGAGGAACCTGCGGAAAGAAAACTAAAATATTTTTACTTCATCGTTTAAATATAATATCATAATTTCAAGGTCCTGACATAGACCAACCTACTCGTTGGCATAGATGATTAAGCAAATCATAATATTCGATTTGGAATCATATTTGCTCGTTTTAATTACTATTATTATACTTGAAATTTGTTTTTTATAATTTTACCGGAAGGTTTACTTTTTTTATATTTTAATAACATATTTGTACAAGAACCCCCACGGTAAAATGACCAAGGGGAGCCGCTTTTTTATTTATATCATTGTATAGGTATCTATATAGTAAACGATTATATCTATAATAAAGCGTGTATTTATAAAGTGATATATTGTATGGAATATTATTTTGGTGTACATTATTGGAGGGACGGCCATTCTGATAATGCAGATTCCCCCTTGGAATCTGCGGTTGGCACCATAGGGTGTTTAATTGATTTGCATAATAAGAATGAACCCGTTTTTAATCGTTTCATATAATTGAACGTTATAATAAACGTTAAAATTATTTTAATTAGTTATATTAGGATGTTTATTTTTATTATATTTAAAATTTTAAAAAAAAATGTGTACATATTTAAATAATATATTATAGATTACTAGAGGCGTCGATTGAAAGCTTGAATTAATTAGTTGGTACATGAAAGCGGAAGAGTCCCGTGTACACGTGAATAAAAAAAAAAGTATTCACGTATGTACTTAGTAGGTACGTGAATATACGTGTACGCGAATTTTTTAATTAGGTACACAGTTTTATAGATTCGAATGTTAATTTTATATGGAATTATATGAAATAAAATTTATTAAGAGAAAACATGATGAATAAATCATTACCTATAATATGATATACGTGTATATTATATAATAGGCGTTGGAATTATTCGAATGTCGATTAAATATTAAAATCTTAGTTTCTATTGTTTTTTTTCAAATTAGTAACAAATACATAATATTATAATATAATTGTTGTTTTTAAATTTAGAATAAGTAATAATTTATACATTATAATAATAATATACTGACTTGTCAAGTAAAACTAGTCGATATCAGAGTGTACCCGAAATATCCAATTTTTGCTCGTTTGTCGTAGTAACTCGGTATTTATTGTAACGAGAAATTTGTTATTACCTATTATTATTGTTATTATTATTTTTTTTAATTTTACCCTTTCCCGTATATTATACGACAATGAGAAGTAACGCGAAACTATATTATAAACTAAACAAAACGATATTCAAATACTGAAGAAAAAAAATAGCGATTTACCTATTGAAATGGTGGTTACGATGGAATGTAAGATAACACGATATATTATATTATTCACGTTTTATTTTTATTACGGTGTATATTTGTATAATATACAATAAATGTACCAAAAAATAAAACAACAAAAACCTTGAAGTTTCGATGGTATAATTATATATATATAGCCTAAAAGTACTCTAATATCGCCATAAAATGCGGGAGTATAGCTCCCGTCGTTTAGTGCTGTGCATTAAATAAATATTAGAATATTTATTACACTATTTATATTATATTATAGTTGGTAATGCGAGTGAGGATAAACTTGTAATGTATGTAGTACAAAACCGTATTGCAGTAAATAAATAAAACTGAAATTTTTTTTGGTATTTTTTTTTAGTTATTAACGGAAATATTGAATAATTTTTAAAACAGAAATTCAAATTTTCAAAGATATTTTATACAATTGCAATATTTTCAAGATTACACGTTGAAAATAGGCGTGAAGGGGCAGTATAAATCGATTTAAATAATTGTCGGGAATGTTAATTGTATGGAATGATAAAAACGAACTTTCAAGTCTTTAAGCCCGCCGTACACACAACACTTGTTTTGGTGTGAATCGCCTGCAGATGTGAGCTGTGATATTACCGCTATGGTTACCTTGATTGGGTCCACTGCGAGATCGCGTGTTGGAATTTGTGAATGAAATTTAAACAAGTTCTATTTCCTTGTTGGATTTTATTATTTTAAAATTAAACATAATGGCCAGGATAATTTTTTCTAGAGTTATAGCCTCCGCAGATAATTGTATTACACCAAACCCATACCCATAATCCATAAGTAACATTATATTATGTATTAAACATTATACTAAAACAATAAATAGATGAAAAATCAATTTAAAATAGTAGAATAATTGATAGTAAAAAAAACGATTTTAAAGTAAGTTATTTACGTAAAAATTTCTAATACTTTTTAGCACTGATTGGACCCTCAGACGGTCAATTTCGAAATCTTAAATCTGAAATTTACAAAAATGATAGCTAAAAATATTCCCTATTGTATGATATGGGTCTGAAATCCGCACGACGGATATCACATCATATCATTATATTTCATATTGATAAATGAAACATTGGCGAACTAACTCCCATAAGCTACAGCGCGTAAAATTAATGTATTAAAGGTATTAAAATTTTTTTTTTTATTAGTATTCTAAAAATGGTATAACTTTTGAACGGGCACAACACTAACGACGGGGTTTTCGACACAAACCAGCACTAACGTAGCACAATCAGATGATGTAAAATTTCAAATTTCCTATGTAGAGAGGCCTTCTTGATGTAATCCTTTATATGAAATATTTATCGAAATTTTCAGTAGGTGGTTCTTAGCATCCCCTAAGTACTTTTCTCTTGGTGACGTGGCGAAAAACACGACAAATATCACTGCTCAGAATCGTTTTTCGTTTTTAACGATTTCTTGTTGCACACACATTTTTCGTTACACCCGATATATACATTACAAACTAAATTACCCTGTTTATCTATTATCTTTTTAACTATTTACTTACAACAGTGGCATATCCGTGAGAAATATCAACTTTTTTTTTCAACAATTGAGCCATTTATAAAAATGTAGTTACGAATATTTTGTAACGTGGCTGTCGATATTTTATTAGTTTATTATTACTGAAGTTAGGGAGGTATAAGGTATGATATTGAATTATTTATTTATAAAGTGAGATGAATAAATAAATATGATTTCCAGTTAAGATAAGATTAGATAATTCGCTTTATTTAGCTTGTACCGAAGGTAACCCGGAAAATAAAAATATCCGATATAACTACTCATTGTTATTATTTGTTTTCAATTTTTGAAAAATATTTCAAAAACTGTTGGGAATCTAGTAAAATCCATATTTGTTATGAGTGTAATATCTGACTAATAATTTAGCGTCTTTATATTAACTGGAAAAGTGTTTTTTAAAGGGAGGGGGTGAATGGAGAGAAAAAAAGCACAAGTCATATTATTATAGTATAACCAATACATTATGTATACATTCCTCGTCGCTTCGTTCAAAAACTATAAAAACGGACAACTGAAAAAACACAGATGGACTCGTCTCGAGGTGCAGCGACCATATTATTATTATTATCATCACTATTGCGCATCAATAATAACAATAATAATATTATGTATAATAAAGTTTGACTTGTGTATGTATGTATATCATATCGTAATAACATAAATGCACAGGATAGAATAATATCGAGGACGCCTTTAGGTTTGTTTTAAAAATATTATGTTTGTACTCGTGTATTAGGTATATTATTATATCATCGGATGCATCGGCGTGCACAGAAGGATGTTAGAGATAATATTCCTCCCTCTTTGGTTTAATAAATACAAGTTACAATAACTATATGAATGTTTATTTAGTAAATTTATTGAAATTACATATTTTAAAAGGCCCGGAAGCCGGCGTATTTTTTTGGCTCAAAAACATGCCTTGTGATTTTGATGATAATTTTTTTTGTCTAAAAGAGGAAGGTCTGAACTCCACAGGTTGACAATGAGTCAATGAGTTATCGAAGTCATTTTCGTCCATAAAAATCCCTCTTTCCTCCTTCCTCCTAGACGGATATCGGGCAGTTGATTAGGTCAGAAAATGTTGAAAATAATTTTTAAATTTGTCAAAATTGGAAAATACTTTAAAAACCGGCTTCGGGCCCCTTAACTAGATTACAATATAGGAAAAAAGAGTTGATACTGGGGACAGATGTGCTACTATTATAGATGGGAAAATGAAAAGGTATAAGGGTACATAATGTTATAACTTTCTCATTTTTATATTTCTCTAATGACATATTAAAAGGTTAATAATCTAATGCGAATAAGTAAATAATTTAAATCTGTCGAAACGTGTTGAACAGAACTTGCTTCAGAGTCGCCGTTCGTTTGCACCGATTTATCATTGCATACAGATATAAACTAAATTACCCCGTGAATATCTTATATACGTTCCCGATTTACAACAGTTTAAATTTGTTTTATCGTTATCATAAGCGCAACTAGAGAGGTGTTAGGGGTCTTTAGAACCCTCAAGTTTAAAACTAGCACCCATTCCCTCCAAAATTACCAAATAAGCTTTTTTATAGTATGGGTTAAATATTTTATCCGTGTATCTCATAATTAATAAGCATAACAAAATACTTATGAAAACGTATTGTAAGTGCCGTGTTAAAGGGATTGTAGGGGCATTGCCTCCGTGGGTCCGCGGTGTGTCTATAATTTTAGCAACCCCAAAGTCGGGTGGTCTAGTTGCGCCCACGAATTCGCCATAATTTGCCTCGATAATTGTCGATATTCACACTGCAATGTCGTGTGGCAGTGTCCCATGCCATTTTCTATCAGTTCGCGCCCGGTCATAGTATTTACTATAAATACAAATTCTCCTCTCTAACCTCCACTCCCCCCCCCCCCAGTCGAAAATTTTCGGACACCACGGTCGGACAATATTACGCATTATATTTTTATTATGTTTCTCCGGGGGTCTGGGATTCGTATCGGAAATTAATACGACATGATCGTACAGCATTATACAGAGGTGTCCGCGACGGAACGGACTGTCAACGCCGGCGGGGCACGGTACGCTCGCAGCCGTTCACGATGTCGAAAACAGATGGCCGTGCGCGCGTTAAAATGTATAATATTTTTCTCGTTTCTGGCGCCTATATTATTACGGACATTATTCGAGCGTCGGGGTTATCTGCGGCCGACCATCTCGCTCCCATCGTGAACTTACACGTAGTTATTACTATTATTATTATTAATTATCATTTTTTTTTTTTTTTTTAAATTTATAAATATACCATATAGTAATATAGGGAAAACGCCACGTGGATCCGGATAGTCGTACGTATGTACCTACGCATATGCATAGGCTACCTAAATATAATACTATTATTGTACAATATAGTACCTAATGTATAGTATAAAAGCTTAATAATAACCGTTATTGATATTGTAATCTCACGAAAAAAATAATAATAATAAAAAAAAAAATGTACGAGCGGAAATCTATATAGGTATTGAAATGGTTATTATATATATATATATATACGACGAACGATCGAATATTATAAAAACAAAATCGTTTTTTGTTTCTACGTTCCGATATAATGCGAGTTAAATATTATTTATAACGTATAATATCGAACTCGAGTTTTGTTGCAATGCGGTACACCAATACTAATATTATATCCTTAACGCGCCGAGTAAAAAATAAAATAGTAATACGATATGGTATTTTTATAGTACCTAAATTTGTATTTGGTTTATTTATTTATTATTAAAGTACTATAGGTACGTGTTAATAATATTAAATAAAATAATATTTAAATAGCTCAATGTCAATTAGTTTATTCTTTAAAAATTCTATACACTTACCTATATGCGTAACGGTTTCATTTATTAGATTCCTATAATAATTTATATTATTATTTATATTATTTATATAATTATAATTTATATCATCTTAATTCACCAAGATGTATGTGTGTGTTTTCTAAGAAAACACTTTTTTTGCACAGTGAAAATGCTCCAATTTTGTCATGCCTTAGTCATGCCTGGGTTTTTTATTCGGATGATATTTTATTTAAACAGTTTTTCGAAATTCCCAATATTTTTTCCGACATTTAAATTATTTTTGTTTAAAGTATTGTGCAAGTAAGAATTATTTTTGGTGGCCAAACCCTTGTCTACTTCTATGAAAAAAGATAAGCGTATTTAGCCTCCTACCTCAGCAATTTAAAATTCTGGCTATGCCTCTGATGTTATCGTTGGAAAATGATAAAAAGTACTGCGTAATAATAATATTATCATTTCCTTACCTTACGTATTAGCTAAGAATTGTCATTATGTCTTAAATGTCAACATTTTCGGTGTGCCATATGTTTGTTACAGCTAAAATCCAAAATCAGTC